TGGCAATGGCTAGGCTATTATAATATATTTTAATATATTAATATATAATATTCTATAACATATAATATAGGATAATATATATTCTAATATAATTCTGACCTCTCAGACTCTCTTGTTCCTTTATAAAATTTTCAACCTCACATTTCTTATCAAGCACAGACTCCTGCTGTGCTGCCCAGAACTTTCCAGTCCTCCCTGCTTCATCCTGGTTATGAGAACACTGTAGCCAAGACATCATATCTGTCTTACTTGTATGCTTTCTTGTAGCGATATTTCATTTGTATTTTAATAAGGAAAGGTTGCCTGAAGATTAGAGAGTAAAACAGCTGCTTGGTCAGCATTATAGACCATTGGCAACACACACCTTTAATCCCAGTAATCACACTAGTTAGCCATAGAAACTGGGTGGCAGTGGTGCACGCCTTTAATCCCAGCCCTAGAGAGGAATATAAGAAGGGAGACAGCTCTCAGACACATTCTCATTATGAGGATCCCTGGAGTCAGGATTTCCATTTGGACTGAGGTAGAGGTAAGAGCCAGTGGCTGTCTCTCTTTGCTTTTCTGACCTTCAGGTTGGACCCTAGTATCTGCCTCTAGATTTTTATTGATCATGCTACAATTTCAATCCAATGAAGACTATTCTACATACACACTCATGCACACACACACACACACACACACACACACACACACACACTGTCCAAGTTTCTGATCTGTTTTAAACTTGACAGTAATGCAAATCTTTGAACAAAATTCATGCACTGGCATTTGTGGCATATCTCTTACTGCGAAGAGTCAATTGATTTGATTTTCTAGATTTTCTTTTTGCATATTGAAATCTATGCATTATGCACTAGTGAAGAGATACTATATGTTGTGCATTTTAAGTTTAACAGCTTCCTCATTCTTCAGGTTTAGTTCCATTTTCCTAGTACAGTCTTTTAATTTAATTAGAGGCAGGTTACCCTACAATTCCTAGAAAAAATTTCTTTTCCTGCCTTAGGCTCCTAGGTATTTGGGGGCTGCCAGAACCCTGAACTGTGCGCAATGAATACATTTAAAGATTTTTTTCCAGTGGGATTTTTGTTGGCATATAAATGACATCATGAAAGTACATCTTGCAAAGTGTTAGGCAATGAAAAATTCTTCCTCCATCTTGTGCCCTGCTGGGGGCCATAACGACTACAGCTGCTTCTATTAAGTAAAAAGGTCTAAGACCTGAGAGATGGCTCAAGGGGTAAGGCACCTGCCTGTTAGTCTGATGAACTTAGTTCATACTCTGAAAGCCACAACATGGAAGAAAGGAGAGAACCCATGCCACAAGATGCTTTCCAAACTTCATATGTGGAACAAGCATTTGTCAACTTACACATACATGCATGCACACACACATGCATACACACACACACTAAATTTTAAAAAATATATAGCTTAAAATACTTTAAAATATATAATGTTCAAATTTAAAGTACAGTACATTATATATGATACCTTTGCACTTAGCAATAATACTTAGCAGCTAGGGAATTATTCTGCTTCTTTTTATTTATTTATTTAATTTATTTATTTATTAAAGATTTCTGTCTCTT